TTTTTCTTTTTTTTTCTATCTATGGAAACTGGTATCAGTTCTGGGTGTGGGTTGGCTTTTTCGCTTGTACACATGCATGATCAGCTACAGTGGAGACGGTAATCCATCTCAGAGTCTCCGACATAGATTTAGAGATCTCTATGCAGGGGCATGAAATTTTGCATGTCAACTGATCAAATGCTCATAGCCATCATTATCGGAGAGTAGTGCCGGTTTGAAACACCCACGTCACTACAACAACTTTAGCATCTGCATGTATATGTGGAATACTGAAAGTCCACTTTTGTCTTGTTTCTTCTGCTAGCACTTCTTTGCACTTGACCTGTAGCTAGCCAGGGAGGGGGAAATAGAGAGAAAATGGGTAAAAAGAAAATAAAATGGAGATGCGGGGAATCGAACCCCGTGCCTCTCGCATGCGAAGCGAGCGCTCTACCATATGAGCTACATCCCCATTTTGCACTGGATGTTAATATATTTTATATCAACTAGAAAACAACATAGATGCCACTGGGTCACAAGGCAGGTTGAACCAATCTACAAATTTTCCTAATTCCCATCGGTGGAGTAGGGTGCGGGAGTCCATGGAGCCCACTGCCATATCTTCTGGTCGATTTGATCAGCAGTCCAACAATGCCGATGAATACAAATCGAAACTAGGATTTAAATTATAATACAAGACGATGATGCCAGGTGATGACGAGAGACGAAGCCACCTGTATCCTTTGACCACTAATTTGTTCAATAGATTTTGCCTCCCTATCCATGCACACACTGACACACCTCACATGACAATATCACAAAAGCGTACAGTTATACCGATGTAACATGAATTTAATTCCAAACTTGTTCCCTTCCTTCTTGCTGACAAATAAAGTTGTCAGTATACATGCACTAACACCTGTGAAACAACACGTAACATCTTTGCTATTTTATGGCGAAGGAATGCCCTAAATCATTTATGTATGATACTAGTAACAATTAGTATGAAACTATGGCCAAAAGAGTTCAAAAGTATGTGTAATGTTTTGAATAAATAAGTAGGAAAATATAATAAAATCCTTGATGGTTTAAAGTGTAGGTATAAATGAATGAGGGGTAGTGTAGTAATTCAACAAAACTTGATAAATATAAATAGAAAGTATAAAAAAAAAAAAAC